TATAATTTTAAAAATCCAATTTATAATAGGAACAAAAAATTAAAATGAAAAAGTGCAATATAAACAACTGTAAACTGCTTCTGAAAGCCATTTAAAAATCGAAAAGCAAGAATTAGTATTATATATATACGTTTTTACAAATTTTATTTAAAATATTTATGAAAAGCAAATAACAATAACTTTGTTTTCAATACACAGCTTGATCCTAAAACTCATATGGAAAATTAAACAGTCCAATAGCCAGGAAAACTCTGAAAAGGAAAAGCAATGAGGAGGGTCCAGAATTACAGAGTAATAAAACATATTATTTGGCACCAATAATCAGAGTAAAAAGTAAATAAATAGAATCAAAATCATAAGAAAATTTACTATTTGACATAGGTGGTAATGGAACATTTTGGTAACCATTTGGAAAAACAGAATTGGATCCTTAACTCACACTGTACTTTGTGAGTAAAGTCCAAATCTAAATATTTCAATGAAAAATTTAAAAAACATGAAAATACTAGAAGAAAACATGGGAAAATTCTTTATACTATAGGAGTGGGGTTGGCTTTTCTATCATCCCCAAATCTAAAAGGCATTAAGGAAAATTGATAAATTTGGCTACATAAATATGAAAACTTTTTCATGCCAAATAAATACCATAAGACAAATGACTAAACAAAGTGTCAACACATATCACAAAGGGTAATCTCCCTACTCAATAAAGGTCTTCTGCAAATTTACTAGGAAAGTATCCCAAAAGTGAGCAAAAAATATGAGCAGAAAGTTAACAGAAAGGAAATATAAATGGCTTTGACACATTTAAAAGATGTTCAATTCATAATAAGAATAGTACATTGTACTTAGAGGATACATATTTTATCTATCAGACTGGCAAACATCAAAAGTTAGATAAGACTCAGTTGGAAATATTGTGAGGAAATAGACATATTGCTCCTGAGGGAATATAAGTAGCTAGACCTTTCATAGTAAGTAATTTGGCAATATCCATCATTATTACAAATGCTTATGTTCCTTTACCTAGCAATCCCACTTTTGGGACTTTATCTTTCAGACACATAGTCTTCACATGTAGAAAATGGCAAATATATATAAGGTCATTTTGAAGAAATTGAAAATGATTGGAAACAACTCAAACAATTTATTAAATGAGAATGGCTAAATTAATTATTATGTATTCTTTTTTTTTTTTTTTTTGAGACGGAGTTTCACTCTTGTTACCCAGGCTGGAGTGCAATGGCACGATCTCGGCTCACTGCAACCTCCGCCTCCTGAGTTCAAGCGATTCTCCTGCCTCAGCCTCCCAAGTAGCTGGGACTACAGGCGCGTGCCACCATGCCCAGCTAATTTTTGTATTTTTAGTAGACATGGGGTTTCACCATGGTGACCAGGATGGTCTCCATCTCTTGACCTTGTGATCCACCCGTCTCGGCCTCCCAAAGTGCTGGGATTATAGGCATGACCCACCGCGCCCGACCTATTATGTATTCTTATAGTTTGCTTGCTGTAAACTACACATATCTAAAAAAAGGTGTAAAGCCTCTACTGTAGACATATGCAAAGGTTTCCAAGATATGTTAGTAAAGAGAGCAAGATACAGAATAATGTGTATGATATGCTATTTTTGCATAAGAAAAAACAAATTAGAATAAGATTTATTTTCCTATATGTCTGTATATTCATAAAGAAATTCTGAAAGTATACATAAGAAACTAATAATGGTGTTTATCTGTGTCTGTGGAGGGCCTGAAAATTGAGTGAATGGGAATATGTTTAAATTATGTATTTAATTTTATGTGTAAGAATTAAATTTGAAGTATGTCATCTTTGTCATTTTTTATATATTATGTTTTATGCTTGTAGCTGGAAGGTTTCCATTTTAGTTTACTCCAGAAATCTGTTACAAAAATTTGTTTTTGAAGTAAAGGCTATTAGGAAAATAAATTGAATAGCTGAGTGCAGATGAGTGCAGTGGCTCACATGTGTAACCCCAACAACTCAGGAGGCTGAAGTGGGAGGATTGCTTGAAGCCAAGAGTTTGAGACAAGTCTGGGCAACAAAGCAAGACTCTGTCTCTACAAAAAAGTTTAAAAATGAACCAGGCATAGTGGCATGCACCTGTAGTTCTAGCTTCTTGGAAAGCTGAGGCAGGAGGATTGCTTTAGTTCAGGAGTTTGAGGCTGCAGTGAGCTCACACCACTGCACTTCAGCCTGGGTGACAGAGTGACACCCTGTCTTTAAAAAAATTATAGTAAAAGAGAAATAACTTCAAAGAATATCATTTTAATTGGCATTTTTACATAAAATAAATAGTATCTTTTTATTTAGAATTAAATTTATCATTTCAACCTAAAGTATGGAGTTCTTTTTGTTTACTAATGTATTTTTATTATTTAAATAATTACTACATTATTTTTCAGAATCCAGTAGCTTTTTTTTCTTTTTTCTTGGTGCTCATTGGTTATAACACAGTAGCTTGTATTTTTTTATTTTTATTTTTATACTTTAAGTTCTGGGATACATGCACAGAACGTGCAGGTGTCTTACACAGGTATACAGGCTATGGCAGTTGGCTGCACCCATCAATCCGTCATCTACATTAGGTATTTTTCCTAATGCTATTCCTCCCCTACCCCCCGCCCCACCCTCCGACAGGCTCTGGTGTGTGATGGTCCCCTCCCTATGTACATGTGTTTTCATTGTTCAACTCTCACTTATAAATGAGAACATGGAGTGTTTGGTTTTCTGTTCCAGATAACACAGTAGCTTTTAAAAGAAAATTTTCTTTATTAAGTTGTAAACAACAAAAATGTATGAGCTCCCTCTGCTGGCTCTGTAGTGGCATATCAAGGTACATTTTGTTTATTTGGAAACAAAAGTGGCACATGGTACAAGCCATGAATTCGATTTGCTAATATTAAGGAGAATAGTTTTAAACTGCAGTTTCCCTAATTTTATAAAAGTTAAATTATACTAATATTCCACTAATATTTGAAAGTAAGATTAGCATTTTAATATAAGTGTTAAAGTCGTTTTCATTATGTGTCTGAGCCATTTGGTATATCCCTAAATAGTGCCATGTAAGTGTGTTGAACAGGAAAAGTTTCTGCATGCCCCTCAATAGGTATAGGAGGATTTTAGTTTTAATATTTATTATGAGTTTTGAATTGCCTTAATCATAAAACCTATGTGTTGTGTTAGCATGATAATATTTAGTTCATTAAAAATACCATAGACTTTGTTTGTTTTTGAGACAGAGCCCAATGTAGAATGCAGAATCACCTGAACCCAGGTGATTCTCTTGCCTCAGCCTCCAGAATAGCTGGGTGTATGTACCACCACGCCCAGCTAATTATTTTGTATTTTTTAATAGAGATGAAGTTTTGCCATGCAGGCCAGGCTGGTCTCAAACTATTGGTCTCAAGTGATCTGCCCAGTTCAACTTCCCAAAGTGTTGGGATTACAGGCATGAGCCACTGCATCTGGCCCATATGCATATTTGGAAGCTAGGAGAAATAGAAAATATTTGCATAGTAAACAGTGACATATAATTCTGAGTATAAATTTTTTTGTCATGACAATCTCTGATGCATTGATTTATGATGTACTTTCCAAAATTTCAAGATATTTTTATTTTTATGATTTGTTTTTATCTTCAAGATCATTGATTTGTGTCTCAGTGGTGATCAACTCATCCTTCTGTTTATCTACTAAATTTAACTTTTGGTGTTGTACTTAAATCTGCTTCAGGATGCCTTTAAAAAACCAATTCAAATTTTCATCTCTCTTTTACAAGTTCTAATTTCCCCTTGTTTCTTTTGACTGACATTCCTCTCTCAAATTGCTGTCTCTAACATAAGATGTTATTTTTCTTGATTGGTTCACAAGCTCAATTTTGATTGTTGAAATATTGGGAATTCCACATGTGGTAGAAGGCAAAGATGTCAGGGGTGAACCCAGTTGTCACTAGTTTATGAGAGCTGATTGTTAATTTTTCAAGAATTCTTCAAGCCAGTTGTGAAAAATAGATTTTATTAAAGCTGACATATAAACTTAAAATTACATTACTTATATTAAAAACAATGCAGTTTTCAAAATCATCATTTCCTAATTATTTAACTTCATTTTATTATTATTATGCTCCTCAGGTAATTTACAATTGCATTTGTATGGTGAACATATTGTATAATGGGGTGCTCCTATGAATCTCCTTCCAATTCTGCATTCTATGATATCATAGTGGTAACTTGTAATACACTGTGGGGGGGCCATTTACACAATGGAACTGGAAAATGCTACAAGGCTGGGCTTTTTAACTGTTTCATTGATTGTCTGGACATAAAAATGTGACATAGACCTCTTTTCCGTGGCACCTCGGAGGGGTTCAGCTGCTTCAAGAGGAAGCTGAACAATTTCCCAGGCACTGGCTGCCAGAAACTCATTGAAGTGGAAGACGAACGCAAACTTCTTACTTTTTATGAGAAGCATATGGCCAAAGAAGTTGATGCTGATGCTCTGGGTGAAGAATGGAAGGGTTACATGGTCCGAATCAGGGTGGGAACGACAAACAAGGTTTCCCCGTGAAGCAGGGTGTCTGGACCCATGGCCGTGTCCACCTGCTACTGAGTAAGGGGCATTCCTGTTACAGACCAAAGAGAAGTGGAGAAAGAAAGAGAAAATCAATTCGTGGTTGCACTGTGGATGCCACTGTGAGCATTCTCAACTTGGTTATTGTAAAAAAAGGAGAGAAGGATATTCCTGGACTGATACCACGGTGCCTCGTCGCATGGGGCCCACAAGAGCTAGCAGAATCTGCGAACGTTTCAATCTTTCTAAAGAAGATGATGTCCACCAGTATGTTGTAAGAAAGCCCTTAAACAAAGAAGGTAGAAAACTTAGTACCAAAGCACCCAAGATTCAGCGTTTTGTTACTTCCAAGTGTCCTGTGCACAAACGGCGGCATATTGCTCCGAAGAAGCAGCTACTGAGAACAATAAGGAACAGGCTGCAGGATATGCTAAACTTTTGGCCAAGAGAATGAAGGAGGCTAAAGAGAAGAGGCGCCAGGAACAAACTGCGAAGAGACGCAGACTTTTCTCTTTGCGAGCTTCTACTTCTAAGTCTGAATCTGGTGAGAAATAAGATTTTTTGAGTAACAAATAAGATCAGACTCACATCTCTATTAACTTTCCAATGTGGATAGAAACCTACTAAAATGAAGAGAGGGAAAATTTGCTCATAGAAGATGTGGATATGTATATATTAATCCAATGGTGGATAAAATCAGACCTGTTGTGTGGTAGGAAGACAAGGTCACGGTAAAGGGATTCTTTTCAGGGGATGGGTGGCACAGGAAGGGATTCTCAGCATAAGACATCTGCCTCTTCAGAAAGGCATGAAACTTGGAGGAAATTAATGAGGATTTTTTTTTTTTTTTTAAGTGATATAGAAAATGTTACCGATTGGGCCAGGCACGGTGTCACATGCCTGCAATCTCAGCACTTTGGGAGGCCAAGGCAGGCAGATCATGAGGTCAGGAGATTGAGATCTTCCTGGCCAACATGGTGAAACCCCATCTCTACTAAAAATACAAAAATTAGCTGGGCGTGGTGGCATGTGCCTGTAATCCCAGCTACCTGGGAGGCTGAGGCAGGAGAACCCCTTGAACAAGGGAGACAGAAGTTGCAGTGAGCTGAGATCATGCCACTGCACTCCAGCCTGGCAACAGAGTGAGACTGTCTCAAAAAAAAAAAAAAAAAAAGCAGAAAAGAAAATGTTACCAACCACAAGCATTTGGGGAAAATAAACTAAAACCTTTTGTGAAAAACAGTTGGTTACATGGAATTTACAATAAATAATATTTATATTTTACTGTTTTAAAATTCTGTGCTATACATTCTTCATATCAGTAAAATATATATATGCATCTATACATTTTGTTTTCTAGAAAGCTGCTGGTTGAACATTAACTAGCACACTACTGGAGTCTCTACCCCCAAAGGAAGTATAGGTGGGCAGTCAATTCTCTGTGAGACTCCTGGGAATTCACTGACATAGTACTTGCCCAGCATCAAGAGTAGTGCTATGATTTTAAAGTATGTCCACAAATTCTGTTTTACATCTACTATCTAAAGACAGGCCCTGATTTTCCTCCCCATGAATGTGAACTGTACCCAACAACTAATGAATATGGTGGAAGTAACCATGTTAGACTTCCAAGGCTGATTCATAAAAGACAGTGTGGTCTCTGTCTTGCTCTTTCTTGGACTGCTTGCTTTGGGGAAAGCCAGTGGCTATGCCATGAGAACACTCAAATACCTATGAAGAGGCCCCACATGATGTGGATGAGGACTCCTGCAACTGCCATTTTGCACCCAGATTTTCCTGTCCCAGACAGGGCTTCAAATGATTGGGGTCACAGCACATATCTTGACTGCAACTTCACAGGAGATTTTGAGGCAGAACCTCTTAGCTAAGCAGCTCCTAAAATCCTTAACACACAGAAACTGTGATGTAATAAATGTTTGTTGCTTTAAAGCCCTAAGGTTTGGAGTAATTCATTAGGTGGCAATAGATAACTAATATAAGCAGCGCTGACTCATTATCCCCACTAAACTTCTTGGACTTTTGGGAGTCAATGAAATCTCAGACTCTCTCATATGTTGCTATACCAACATTGTTGAAGGGAGGGTGTCTTTCCAGAGATCTGTGAAAACCAAACTCTATTCAGGATTAAGGAGGTTCAGAAACTACCAACACCACTGTTCTTCACTTGTTTACTTAGTCCATGGGGGAGCAAGTCGTGGACCAACTTCCCATAGTAGGGTCCCCAACAGAGGTCAAGGTCCCACCTTCTCCTAGCTTCCTATAGGACTTGGCAAGGATTTGGCTCAAGGGAGGCAAATGTCAGAGTTGAAGGAGAGGAAAAGGGAGTTATGTCTAAGTTGCCGTTTTTCAAGAATCTCCTGCTATATATATATATCTTATTGCCAAAAAATAAAACGAAGCCAATAAAAGGTGAAAAGGTTTTAAAGACATCCATTATTTGAGAAAATGAAAGAACAACGAATCTTGTGTAATAATGTATTTCCTTTTCAGTTTAAATATTTTTCATAAGAAAGAACAAATAGTGGCCAACATTTCTTGTATTCATGCCTTTGGGCCATCAATAAACCTTTTAAAACCTTCTTCTAACTTTAATAGAAAAATATACTAAAAAAAGGAGGTGTACCAACAGCCTTGTGCATTTTGCCTCTCATACCTACCAAATCATAATTACCAAAATGTCCAAGGCCATATGTATCCATCATTTGTATCCTTTGTTAGAGATACATTTTAATTTTTTGTTGATACATTCATGTATATATAGTACAAATATTGAAAAAATGAACTAATGCATAAATAATAATGTAATTTAATATCTCCCTTTTGTGTTTTTTTTTTTTATTTTAGTGTTTTCTTTCAGCCTATTTTAAATTAAATAGCTATTGCATTCTGTCAATTAACAAAGCTGGAATTGAATCTGGCCCTGGATCTTACAGCAGGTAAATTGTTTCTTCTATTACCTTTACAGTTGACTTCATTGGAAAAGTATTTGCATATGTCCAGATCCCAATTCTGTCATCTGTAAATATGAAGATACTGAACTAGGTTATCCTTAAACTCCTATTCAGTTTTTATAATTTTAAACAGTTATTGAATAAAATACTAATTATATAAAAGGATACAAAAAATAAAATCTGAATTCTTATCTAAAGCAGATTAAAATTTACTTGGCAATAAATTCATATAAAGAAGTAGCTGGTCAGTTAAGTATCAGAAGAGCTCTCAAGAGGAAGAGGGGAGTAGAGGCTGTAGGGGATAGGGAAACTCAGAGGAAATAGAACACATTAGGCATTATATCAATGTTCACTACCCCAAGCTTAGTGGCTTAAAAACATTTATTCTTTCTCACCATTCTGTGAGTTGATGGGGAGTTCTTTTGGTTTGCACTGGCTGTGCAAGATGGTTGGTTTAAGATGGTCTCACTCACATGCCTGGTGGTTGTCAGGCTGGATCTTACTGGGACTTCATCACATGGCAGCCTCAGCATTCAAGCACTTTTCAAGTTGTTTGCATCACATTTATTTGTATCTAAAGAACCTGAAATTGATGGAAAAACCCATGCAAGACCTCATAAGATCATTTTTGGTTTTTCAGCTCCCAGAGGGTCTTATATAATGATAATTTGCACTAGGTTTTGTTAGGGTGTTTTGTGTATTTGTATGTTTGTTTGTTATTTGGATTTGTCTTTTAAACATACAGCTCTCCAATTAACATAAATTAATATCTACCTTCTGGAAAATTACATGCAAAATGTTATTAGTTTATTGAAGAAAAGGAGTTAGAATCTGGTTCTTGTTTAAGTACTATCTTTATTAAAGTCACAACTTTTAGCATGCCAAGTGATCGCCCAACTTCTATTTGTAATAAATCCCTCTTCCTTACTCAAAGTGATAGGCATATACTCAAGCAAAGTCAATTAGATTCTCTATCCTGATAATTTGTATCTCAATACCCAGGGTGGGTGATTGTTATTGAGTCAGCTGAATGCAGGAGCATTCTATAGAAAAAGTCCACGAATGGACAAGTTTTGGCAGCTATGATTTCTAGAGATTTGATGCTTCCTGTTGCCTTGGGAGCCTGTTCAGCATTTCCTTTGATGCAGTGAGTTACTTTCATTTCATTTTTCTAAAAATAATTTCTTTTTTATAAGTAAATTGACCATGGATATTCATTGAATGAATGATGGAATGAAAGTTCAAGCTGTGTTATAAGAAAAATATATGTCAGTAGAGGTCATGAGTCTCTCAGTGTGTGTTTGTTAGGCATTATATCAATGTTCACTACCCCAAGCTTAGTGGATTAAAAACATTTATTCTTTCTCACCATTCTGTGAGTTGATGGGGAGTTCTTTTGGTTTGCACTGGCTGTGCAAGATGGTTGGTTTAGGATGGTCTTACTCACATGCCTGGTGGTTGTCAGGCTGGATCTTACTGGAACTTCATCACATGGCAGCCTCAGCATTCAAGCACTTTTCGAGTTGTTTGCATCACATTTATTTTTAACTCATCATATTTACCTTAATCACACTAGTAAAGCAAGTCACTTGGACAAATCCAGAATCAGTGTGAGTAGAAACTACACAAAGCCCTGAATACGGGAAGTGTGAACAAACTGCGAGAGAGGACATTACTGTAGAAATTTACCAAGTGCCTGGATATATGAGTAAAATGGCTTTTGGCCTCCTCTACCTTTCTAGCTCTTTAAAATACAAAACAAACAAAAAGCCTGTAATTCTTTTTTTTTTTTTTAACTAGTTCATTTTATTTTTTCCTCTTTCTTTGGGAGAGTTACAAATGTCAAAGAAAACCCATTTTTTAAAAAAATAACTTTTCTTGTGGAATAGTAATTCACATCATGACACCTTGAGAGTCAGACAAATGTCAATCAACATTTCAAGCATGATAATTATAATACAGGAAAAAAGTGATGAATGACTATTTTAAAAAGTATTATCTATTCTATGTTAGATTTGGGGAATAAAACAGTGGGTGAAAAAAAGCTTTTGCCTTAAAGGAACCTAATCTGTTAATAATGCAATGTGATATAATGGTAACAGGGATAAACACCGTGAACACTCAGCCCAGTCAGGGAAGGTTTCCTGGAGAAAGCGATTTTTTTTTTTTCAAGACGGAGTTTTGCTCGTTACCCAGGCTGGAATGCAATGGCGCGATCTTGGCTCACCACAACCTCCGCCTCCTGGGTTCAAGCAATTCTCCTTCCTCAGCCTCCTGAGTAGCTGGGATTACAGGCACACACCACCATGCCCAGCTAATTTTTGTATTTTTAGTAGAGATGGGGTTTCACCTCATTGACCAGGATGGTCTCGATCTCTTGACCTCGTGATCCACCCACCTCGGCCTCCAAAAGTGCTGGGATTATAGGCGTGAGCCACCACGCCCGGCCAAGAAAGTGATTTTTAAGATAAGTCCTGGAGTTAGATGAAGGATAGGGTTGGGCATGGTAAATGTTCTAAAACAAAGGGGCTCTTTGTGCAAAGAATAAAATTTAGGACACCATGACTTGTTTGTAGAAACAGATTAAGGAATTTACATGCTCTATGCACCAAGATATTATGGTGCTTTCCCACTTGAAATTCAAAATAAAATTAATGCAAACTATAAAATTACATGTAGGGAAGTCTTTCTGATTTTTCCCATGTTCTCATCATTTACAAAATAATAAATAGTCTAAAAATATATTCATGCCTCTGTGTTGGTGATTTCTTTAGCATATCATATACCAGTTTGTCTATTGCATAATGCAGTACTTTTCTGGGAATTGCAGATATATAGTATGGCACCATTGTGTAATGTAAAAAGTGGAGAATGGGAGAAGCTGAAGCGCTAAGCAGGTGTCAATTAATGAAAGATGTAAGAAAGCATGTGATTAAGGATGTGGTGTTGATTCAATTGAACCTGAGTTCAATCTCTGCCATTGACTCGTTCTTTTTTTTTTTTTTTTGAGGAAAAAGAAAGAAAGGAAGAAGAAGAAAGAAAAAAAGAATAAAAGAGAGAAAGAAAGAGGAAGAGAAAGAGGGAGAGAGAACAGGAAACTTGCTCTGTTGCCCAGGCTAGAATGCAGTCGAAAAATGGGTATTAAAAACCTCTTTTATGCCAATAAATGTGCTTAACAATGGAGACAGGAAGAAATAAGGGAGGAAAGTAACAAGCAGCCAACCAATATTTCATTTAAACCTGTGAAATGCTATGCAATTGCTGAGGAGGGATTTACTTCCAATTTTGTGGTCACTTTTAGAATAGGTGTGATGTGATACTGAGAAAAATGTGTGTTTTGTGGATTTGGGGTGGAGAGTTCTGTAAATGTTTATTAAGTTTACTTATTTCAAGTCTGAGTTCAAGTCCTGGATATCCTTGTTAATTTTCTGTCTCATTATCTAATATTGACAAAGTCTCCCACTATTATTATGTGGGAGTCTAAGTCTCTGTAAGTCATTAAGAACTTGCCTGATGTATCTGGGTGCTCCTGTATTGGGTATGTATATATTTAGGATCATTAGCTCTTCTTGTTACACTGATCTTTTTACCATTATGTAATGTCCTTCTTTGCCCCTTTTGGTCTTTGTTGCTTTAAAGTCTATTTTATCAGAGGCGAGAATTGCAACTCCTGCTTTTTTTTTTCTCTCTCTCCATTTGATTGGTAAATCTTCCTGCATCCCTTTGTTTTGAGTCTGTGTATCCTTGCATGTGAGATGGGTCTGGATGCAGCATACTGATGGGTTTTGGCTTTTTATCCAATTTGCCTGTCTGTTTCTTTTGGTTGGGGCATTTAGTCCATTTAAATTTGGGATTGATATTGATATATATGAGTTTAATACTGCCATTTGAGTCTAGCTGGCTGTTTTGCCCATTAGTTGACGTAAATTCTTCATTATGTTGATGCTCTTTACCTTTTGATATGTTTTTGGAATGGCTGATACTAGTTGTTCCTTTCTATGTGTAATGCTTCTTTCAGAAGCTCTTGTAAAGCAGGCCTGGTGGTGATGAAATCTCTGAGTACTTGCTTGTTCGCAAAAAATTTTATTTTTCCTTCACTTATAAAGCTTAGTTTGGCTGGATCTGAAATTCTGGGTTGAAAGTTTTTTTCTTTAAGAATGTTGAATACTGGCCCTCACTCTCTTCTGGCTTGTAGGGTTTCTGCTGAGAGATCTGCTGTGAGTCTGAGAGGCTTCCCTTTGAGGGTAACCTGACCTTTCTCTCTTGCTGCCCTTAGTATTTTCTCCTTCATTTCAACCCTGGTGAATCTAACAATTATGTGCCTTGTTGCTCTTCTTGAGGAATATCTTTGTGGTATTCTCTGTATTACCTGGAATTGAGTATTGTCCTGTTTGCTAGATTGGGAAAGTTTTCCTGGATAATATCCTGAAGAATATTTTCCAGGTTGGATTCATTCTCTTCATCACATTCAGGTACACCTATCAAACATAGACTAGGTCTTTTCACATAGTCCCATATTTCTCGAAGACTTTGCTCATTCCTTTTTAGCCTTTTTTCTCTAACCTGTCTTCTCATTTTATTTCATTAAGTTGGTCTTCGACCTCTGATATCCTTTCTTCTGCTTGATCAATTCGACTGTTAAAACTTGTGCATACTTCATGAAGTTCTTGTATTGTGTTTTTCAGCTCTATTAATTCACTTATATTCTCTCTAAATTGTCTATTCTCATTAGCATTTCGTCAAACCTTTTTTCAAGGTACTTAGTTTCTTTGCATTTGGTTAGAACATGTTCTTTTAGCTCACAGAAGTTTCTTATTATCCACTTTCTGAAACCTGATTCTGTCATTCATCACACTCATTCTCCATCAGGCCTTATTCCGTTTCATGATTGCATGAGGAGCTGCGATCCCCTATAGGAGGAGAGACATTCTGATTTAGGGTATTTTCAGCCTTTTTGCGCTGGTTTCTTCCCATCTTTGTGGATTTACCCACCTGTCGTCTTTGTAATTGCTGACTTTCAGATTGGGTCTCTGAATAGACGTCCAGCTTGTTGGTGATGAAATTTCTTTCTGTTTCTTAGTTTCCTTTGGCAGACACCCCTCCCCCACAGAGCTGGACCTTCCCGGGTTCAGCTGTGCTTACTGTGAAACTCTCAATCTTCAGTGCTTCCAATTGCTGTTTGTTTGTGGGGGTACTGCGCCAGCTGAAACAGCGGCATTGAGATTCGTGGCACTTTTCTGCCTAGAAATCTCCCGGTCTGGCCCCCCACTTCCGTCCCCCCCTTCAATCAGTTGAATGGGTGACTCTGCCTTTCCGGAGCTCCAAACGCCAACTAAAAGGGCACCCAGTCTCGTATACTCCGTACTGAGAACTGCTGCGCCGGGGTGCTGGCAAAACAGCTGCACCGGCCAAAAGAGTCGTGCTGGTGACCTGCAGGGCTCCTCTGCCAGGAATCTCCTGGTCCGTGGGCAACAAAAATTCATCTGAAAGTGTGGCGTCCACTCACTCTCTGCACTTTTACTGGGAGCTACAATCCTGAGCTGCTGTTAATCGGCCATCTTGAATCTCTCTCCCACCATTGACTCATTCTATACACTTGGGCAACTTGAAGCCTTAAATTCCTCAGCTGTAAACTGGGAATGCTAAATTGTGAGAATAAATAAATGTAAAGATTTGAGAACAGTGCTTAATACCATAAAACATAGTTAATTTCAATTAAGTATTACATTAATAAATTTGTACTTTAGCCTAGGAAATAGGGAGCCAACAAGGGTTTACATAATTAGAGGTGCTTTAATGGATTTCTTTGGCTGCAGTGTATCATCTGGGTTGAATGACAATGAATAGATTCTAGGTATGCCTAGGAGGAAGACTCAATAGATAGTAATTGGGATATTGATTGGATAGTGGTAAAAAAAGGATGATACCTAGATTTTTGACTTTAGCAATTGGATGATGATGGCTTTCTGTGACTTACATGTCACAGGAAAGGGGCAAAATTGGTTAGTGAAGATAATGAGTTTAGTTTTGGAGACCGATTTGAGATGCCTAGAAGACATCTAAATAATGTCCTTTGGAAAACACCAGCATGGATATAGGAGTTGAAATATTAAAAACAGATAAGATAGGTTGGGGATCATGTTTAGATTGAAAAAAGGACCAACAATGGAATTCCAAGGCACATCCACGAGAAGTTAGTTGAAGTTTAAGGATACTTTAGAGTGTCCAGAAAAATCGAGGGTAAAAAAAAACCCAAGAAGATTGTGATACAATAAGAATAGTGGGAAAAAAGTGTTTGAAGAAAAAAATGTGAACAATGTTGTCAAATGTTATATTTCATCAAACAAAATAGGACTAAATGTGGACATTACATTTAGTCAATGTCAGTGAAATGCAAGTCACTGATAACCTTGCCAAGAAATGTTTTGATAAAATGATGAAGACAGAAGCTAGTTCATATTGAACTGGAGTGGTGGGTGGAGAGGAAGCTGAGACAATGAGTACAAACAACTCTTGCTTGCCTGTAAAAAGAAAATAATGGTGGCTGATAGAGACCTGCAATTGATAGAGCTGAATAGTTGTTTTTTGAAAATGATAGACACATAATGTCTATCATTTTGAAAAGATCAACACCATTAACACTCTAGTTCAAACTTCCAACATCTCACGTGGACCATTACAATATTCTCCTAATTGTTTTCTCTACCACTCCCCAACTGGATCTTTCTTGGCTACCCCTGCCTTGGCACCATACATTCTCCATACAAATCTAATTATAATCTTCCCTTACTCATGTAAGCCAGTTGTAGAAGGCTTTTCCTTCTGGAACCAGAATGGGTATACCTCTTAATATTCTCTGGTTAGAGAGATCAGAGAAGCTATGGGGCCTCACACTACTGGTGAATGTTAATCTCTCTCCAGTAATTCATCTGCTGGCAAGTATTCATCCTTACTTAATAATTCACAAAAGGAAGGGTGGTGGTCTCCACTTTGTTCTCAGTATTGGCCAGTCTCCCGGCAGGTACTCTTCCCTCCCTGGGTCCTACTACACCTGAACTTCCCAAAACACCAATGGTGTTTTTGGCAGTAGTTTCATAGAAGCATTCTAAAACATACCAAAGCAGTACAGAGTAAGAGGACTAGGAGTTATGCTGTTAACACCACTGAGATCTTTCTCTCCTTTATTTCACATAAGGAGAGGAAAAAGGTCTTACATTTTCGGAAAGCACAGTCCAATAAAAATATAATGTGAGCTGCATATATAATTTTAAGTTTTCTAGGGACCACACTTTTAAAAAGTGAAAGAATATAATAATAAAAAGGTGAGGGCCAAGCATGGTGGCTCACGTCTGTAATCCTAGCACTTTGAGAGTCCGAGGTGGGCAGATCATTTAGGACAAGAGTTCAAAATCAGTCTGGCCAACATGGTGACACCCTGTCTCTACAAAAATACAAAAAAATTAGACAGGCGTGGTGGCAGGCGCCTGTAATCCCAGCTACTCAGAAGGCTGAGGCAAGAGAATCACTTGAACCTAGGAGGTGGAGGTTGCAGTCACCCAAGATCGTGCCACTGTACTCCAGCCTGGACAACAGAGTGAGACTCCATCTCAAAAAAAAAAAAGGTGAAATTAATTTTATTAATACACTTTATTTAGTATATTAATAGCTCAATATATCCAAAATATTATTCTTTCAAGGTGCAATTATATTTTATTTGTTGTTGTTGAGGAGAAATGTGAAAAACATTATTCACATTTTTTCTAAGGCTTTGAAATTTGGTGCATATTTTATACTTACAGCACACCACAATTCTAACTAGCCAGAAGAACTCAACAGCCACACAGTAGTGCCTATGGTATGTGGCAATATAGTGTGTCCCCCTCTCACCCCGCAGTGGAATGTTTACTGTTCATTTACTATGAAAACACTTTGTGATGGATGCTGCTTCCACAGCCAGGAATTGGTCCAGCTGATGCTGTTAAGGGAGTCAACTTTCTTCTGGGAAGGAAAGATCAAATCTTGTGTGAACTTTGACTGTTACATGAAATGCAGGCTTTGAGCTCATCCCTAAATTCTGCTTCACCTTGTATGGCAGATTATATTATAAACTCACTTAATGTTTGCTGCTCCTCCCTGCCCCAGCCTATTTTGAATCAGGCTTGGTCACATGACTTCCTCTGGTCAATGAAATGTGAAGTAATGTATTCCACTTCTGTGAGCAGAAATTGTAGGAGACAGTACATGGTTTGCCATAATCGCTTTTGTGTCCACCTTTATGACTGACAACATCCCAAATAGACAGAGGCTGCTCCATCAGCCTGGGACTTGGAGGGAGGACCACGAGGAGTAGAGGTGCAGCTAACTTGTAATGGACTTGCAGGGTGTGGGAGAAATGAACCCTTGTTGTTGTTCACTACTGTAGCCAAGCCCAGCCTCTTCCTGACTTACGCACTATTGTTTGTGAGTGATGTAGAGAGTTTTTTCTCTTTGTTGTTTGAAGGATGGGACAGTGAAGCTTTAAAATTTTAGAGAGTGTCTCTTAAGGACATTTCATTGTGCCTGATGTTATTGCAATGTTACTGGTTGTTGTCCTGGCTTAGGTTCTGGCCCCCAATAAAAATGGCCTCAAATTTCAAAAGCCCTAATTAAGTTCTACATCATTACCTTTTTAACAGTTTTGGCCTAAGGCTAGTAAAGAACCAAGAACAATATGCCAAAGTGAATTTTCTTCAAAAAAGTATCTGTCCCTCCCACACTTCAGTTCATAAGCAAGTAAGATTTCTGATTTTTTTCCTGATATTTGGCATGCAGGACAGATACCGCTACAATAAATATTTGTTGGAAAAAAAGGAATGAAATGAAATGATAGCAGCTTTCTAGGTGGGATCATATGCATATAAGCATGTATATACTTACTTACAAAATCCATGGTGGGAGTTTGTGAATCTGCTTTCTTTTCTTTTGTGAGTGGTTTTCCTAACAGAATGCCATTGAGTAGTGTGACAAGTGAGTGAACCCCAGGATTCTAGACCTTGTCGGAGCTGTCAGACTGTCTGTCACCTAGGTTATGGGTTTTATACTCCAATGTTCATTCATTCAACAAATATAGAGAACCAGCCATGTGCTATCAACTTCTCTAAGCACAAGAGATACAGTTGCAAACAAGACAGGCAAAATCTCTGCTTTCCTGAAATTTCCATTGTAGCCAGCCTGTTAGGCCTTCCCAGAAATCTTTTGTTTTCTGGGTCTGTCTTAATAGATTTTTTTAAAAACGTTTTTTATTATGGAAATTTCAAATATATATAAGAGCTGAAAGAATTATAAGCATCCCCATCACCTAATTTCAACCACACTGAACTAGTGGCCAGTCTTATTTCATTGTTACTCTACTCTCTCCCCTTATTCCATTTCAAATCATTTTGACAGCACAGGTATCACGTCATTTCACTGACAGATAATTTTAAATAATATTACATGTATGTTTTTCCTCTGGATGCTGAGATTTGCACTTACCTGTCCTGATCTGACAGTCTATATAGGAGACTTTGTAAGTGTCTGCAGGTGTGTGTGTATATGAACATGCAATATATGTATATATACCCTTTTAATGTTATTATTTCCCACCATAACCATATCCATAAACAGTTCCACAGCATCTCTGAATTGGAGATGGAGTAATAATCACAGGTATAAACAGAGTGCCCACTGAAGAGCTGGTGATTGCCTCTCAAAGCTTTTTAGCTAGGTGTGGTGGCTCATGCCTGTAATCTCAGCACTTTGAGAGGCCAAGGCAGGCAGATCACTTGAACTCAGATGTTAGAGACCAGCCCACCTACCAAAAATACAATAAGAAAATTAGCCAGGCATGAGTTGTGTGTGCCTGTGGTCCCAGTTACTCAGGAGGCTGAGGTGAGAGGATCACTTGAGCCCAGGAGGCAGATGCTGCAGTGAACTGAGATTATGCCACTGCATTCTAGCCTGGGAAACAAAGAGAGATTCCATAACAAAAAAATTTCAAAAAACAAAAACAAAATCTTTTTTTTTTTTTTTTGAGACAGTCTCCTGCTGTTTCCCAGGCGGCAATGCAATCTCAGCTCGCTGTAACCTCCACCTCCTGGGTTCAAGTGATTCCCCTGCCTCAACCTCTCAAGTAGCTGGGATTATAGGTGCGTGCCACCATGTCCAGCTAATTTTCGTATTGTAGTAGAGACGGGATTATGCCATGTTGGCCAGGCTGGTCTCAAACTCCTGACCTCGTGATCCACCCTCATCAGCCTCCCGAAGTGCTGGGATTACAGGCAAGAGCTACTGCACCTGGCCTTAAAAAAGCTTTTTATACCAGAAGTGCTCTGGTCCAATTTAGGAAGATATGATAGTATATCCTTTTTTTTTTGAGATGGAGTCTCACTCTGTTGCCCTGTTGCCCAGGCTGGAGTGCAGTGGTGCAATCTGGGTTCACTGCAACCTCTGCCTCCTGGGTTCAAGCAATTCTTCTGCCTCAGCCTCCCAACCTCCCAAGTAACTGGGATTACAGGAACCCACCACCACATCCGGCTAATTTTTGCATTTTAGTAGATGGGGTTTCACCATGTAAGCCAGGCTGGTCGTCTCAAACTCCTGACCTCAAGTATTCCGCCTGCCTTGGCTTCCTAAAGTGCTGGGATTACAGATGTGAGCCACTGAGCCTGGGATACAACACTATGTATGCCTTC